CATACTTGCTTACGATCTTCGGTACTAATCCTTTCAGATATCTTCTCGATATTTATAATCTGATTGAATTCTTAGATGCAGAAGTTTCTCAAGATATTAATCTGCAGCATGCTGTAGCTGCTTTTCGTTATTATACTCAGTATAATTAATAAGATATATTCTTAATGAAATGCCTTTGTATTCCGTTGATAGCTTATTTATCTAGCTCTTCTAATATTCTTAATAAGCAGGATCTGCTTAGATATAAAGCTAGATAGAAGCGCTTATGAATTCTCCTCTCAGTTAATACAGCAACTTCAGCTTATACTCTATCTTAGCTCGATATAAAAACTGAAAAAGGATTTTATATTGCTATGCACAAATCCAGCAATATCCTACTAGCTTATGCAAGCAAGCACTATCTGAACAGTTAGCTCAGAAGTGCTAGAGCTATTTGGGATTGGGATTTCGAGAATATTCCAACTACGCTGCTAAATAATGATTCGAATGCAGCTCTGCTTTATACAATCAAACTATTTCGCCTTCAAATCCTGAAATCTACTGATTTCTACTAATCATCTAGTAGCTATTCAGACTGGAAGCAAGCTTTCTATCTTAACTATAGAGAGATTGTACAAAATGTGAAAGAATAGAATGCGGAAATAGCTATAATAAGCTTGTATTGCTAAGCCTTTTCCTATAAGCTGAGATACAGCAACTATATATAATATCCTAATTAGCTATTAAGAAGAAATGCTTCACTTCAAGAATATAAGGCTGTATAAGTAGAAGCTAATAGAATATTGAATATAATCTATAAGCTGAATATTACTTTCTTTATAGAAGGAGTTGCAGATTTGCCTGAACTGTTTATTGAAAGCAATCTCGATAGAATGAGAAGAAACATATCAGCCTTTGCTCTGAAGGATTTCAGAGCAAGTAGAGCATCCAGCCTAGTTCCGTTAAAACAATAGTTCCGAGAGAGCATAGCTCCAGCTAGCCTGATCTTGCATTCATCAAGAGGATATAGTATTAGCTTAGAGTTAAGTCGATTTCCATCCGGAACTCCTACCGATCCTTACTCCTCTTCACCTCGAGAAACATCTATCGGTTCAGAACCAACAATTAATCTGTTAATGCAGCAAATAGCTAGGCCTGAACGTGCTACTGAAGCCCCATTGCATCAGAGACTGAGAAGCAGCAATATTATGCTTCTCAGTTTTTCTAATAAACCTTAGAAGCCTCGTATGCTTCTATGGAATGAGCTTTATAGCCTTAACCCTATTAAGCTCTCAGTGAGTTCTCCGAACTGAACAGGATTTGATTATGCTATCAAGATGGATATATATGAAGCGGATTGCAAAAGGATCCGTTGAGTAAGGATGCAGAATCAGGAGAGAACTGCTGCTGCTGCTGCTGCTTGAGCAGAGTTTGAGAGCAGACGGAAACAGAGAAGAGGTTAGCATTAGAATCTGTTCAGATTATGCTCATATTATAAATAGACTGAAGATGGATACTAATACTTCTGCATTGATTTGAATAATAGCTTAAGCAATAGGAAGAGATATAAGAATTGAATGGGAGAAGGATGGTTTGGTTTGCAGTATTTCCTTTGGCAGTTTGCAATAAATTCTTTATTTCTTTACTTCATCTCCCTCTGATCAGACCTAGTATATCATTGGACTTGTTGCAACTTTGGAAGAAAGTTGCTGGAGGAGGACTGTTGTGGTAGCCAGGGTGGTAGTCCGTGGGACGTGGAGTACAGTGGGTCAAGGGTCCTCATACATATAAAGGATACCACCCACTTTTCAAATTCTTTAGCTATAAGCAACAATGAAGCATCCTTTCTCTTCTTTTCAATTTTGAACCCTTTGAACAGGTCTAAGACAGGTTTTTCACCCTGTTCTTGTGCCCGTGTGGCCTTAGTTTGCTGTCCTCATCTGTACAGGCACGCTTGGGTTGCACGAGCCCTTGCCCATTGCTTCGGCAGCTGTTTGTCCCTTTTTCTTTCGAGGGCGACGGCGCCCTAGTTCTGGTTCAGTGCTAAGTTCTTGAATACGGAACCGTACAAGTTTCAGTAAGCGATGCAAGTGTTTACTGCCTTTGGGGCTATCAGAGTAGAGAGTAATCTGATACTTAGATTCATAACTGAAGAGCTATGTACTGAATTTATCTAATGGTAATGAACGTGTTCTTATATATCCAGTTTTTCAGTATGGATATGTTGGATAGCAACATATCCAAGTTATTCTGCTAGCTCTGAATAGCACATATCCGAAGCTATCCTTCCTGATTGGCCGTGCCCATAACCCTAACCCTGGGTTATGTAATCAATGCTTTGTCAGGACGTTGAGTCCTTGACACCTGGTCCCTGTTACTCGTGACCTGTTCCGTGACCTGCATGTTGGATGGGTTATAACATAGCATATGTAGTGCTATTCTGAGCTATACTACTCTGTTAATCACTATTCTTATATTAAAGTTTCTTGCTTGTATTAGCTGAAAATCTTCAAATCTAGCTTTCTTTCTTCTTGAACTTCTTTATCTGTTATTTGTATAAATAATTATCGATGCAGATTGCTTAGTTCAAGAATATTGCAAAGTTTTCCAGCTAATCTTATTTAGAGATTTCATTCTTAATATTATTCTTAAGTTTCTTATAATAATACTTTATAAGATTCTTATTCTTTTATAAGAATTATGCTAAAAGTTGTTTAAATCTAACTATATAAGCAAAAGCTGATTTAGTTTGCTTAAGATTTATAAGCTATTGAGCTATAATATATTCCTTATTAGAATTATTAAAAATTTTTCTTAAAAGCTTTCTCAAAGCTTGCAAAGAAATTAAATATATTCTTAGTATTCTGAATATATGCATTAAAATCATTCTAGTACTCTAAGTAGTTTTGCAGAGAAGATTTATACTAGATAAGAGCATTCTTTTTGAAACGAATTCCTGCAAGAATAACTTTCTCAGATTCCTTAGTAAACTGGATTATATAATACAAAAAGTATGCTCTGCAGTAAGTAAGAAATTCATATAGTATTTTCTAATTACTATTATATATAGCAAGCTTATTCATTTTGTATGCCTTTCCAGCATTATTAGCAATCATGAAGATAAGCTGCACCTGCTAAGCTTATTAAGCTTGCTATTTCAGCTGAGCCTGCTAATTAGCAATGATAATGCTCTGAGCTTATTACTAATCGCATAGATTCTAAATACGCTGGATAAGCTGATACATCTGATTAATCAGTTCTTTCTGAGTAGAAGTGCATAAGAACGAAGAGAATCCTTGAAAAGCTATTATATTCCGTATTGCTCAAGAGATAATACTAAACCGTTCTTGAATAAGAATCATCAAAATGTAATAATACACTGCAATATTCAAAGATCCTGATATATACAAGGGGTTTATGCTAACAAAAGCGGTATTAAGATGATAATCTCTAGAATACAGAACGAGTACTGTAATCCGTACAAGTGCTATTCATTCGCCTTTGAAGCTATTCAAGTATGCAACAAATGAATACTTAGATTAATAACTGAAGAGCTATATCCTAGTAGTCTATCTGATAGTAATAAACGTATCCTTATATATCCAGCTCTTCATCGTAGCTCATCTTGAATCATTAGCGATCTAAGTAATCCAGGCTCATTGGATCATCCGATGATCCAATGATCCATCCCTGTCTAATCCTTGCTCTGGATTACATAATCACCGTTGGTTGTCCGACGTTGGATCGTGACACCTGGCTCCTTGTTTAGCGGGCCCGTCCTGCAACCTGCATGTTGAATGGGTCATAACACAGTAGCTGATGAGATAAAACCCTAACCCTTTAAAATGACTAAGCAGATTTATCCTGGCCTTATGAGCTTACAAAGCCTTTTTTTTCAATTATAAACGACTAGTAACTGATAGTCTACTGCTAAGAAAAAGTGTTTGCTTGCTTGTAGCAGTATCTTTCGTTTGCCAACTAAGACTGCTAACTGAACTGCTAGAACTGAACTGTATGGACCGCTGGAGCCAAGGAATCAGGCCCATTAAGTTTCCTGCCGCAAATGCCCCGAGAGGGCAATCATTTCCAGAAGTCGCGATGTCGGCCATGCAAGGCTGAGTCGTATCTAACGTGTAGGAGGTTGAAAAGGGTGAGCGCAAGGGACAGAGCATATCTACCTTGTAAGAGAGTGAAAATCGCGCACGCGAGGGCAAGGAGTTATCAAATGAGGAGTGAGAGTTGCTTTGAATATTCGTATTCAAATCTGCCAATGGCGCTCCACAATGCGATTGCTCTCCGGCTGGGATGCCTGTTATATCAATATTATAAGAATGAGTATATATCTGCAAGTTTGATTTACTATGTACCTGTTGAAAGTTCCGACACAAAGTCTTGTTCGGTTGTCGATATATCGCATGCTGTAGTTCCGAAATATTGATATGCATTGTCCAGCCGCCTCCGTTTGCATCTTTGGCCGGGCTTCTGTGGAAATGACCGAAACAGATTGTTGTGGAGGAAACGGTGACTTCTGTGAGCATGGAAAGAATGGATTGGATTGACAATCTAAAGAAAGATGAAGAGAAGAGAGCATAGAATATGCTGTTTTATATATAGGAGAAAGGTCAGGGTTAGGGTTTTCCCCCAACAATATATATAAAAGGAGCAGGCAAAGTGGGTCTGAACAGGCTAATGAGAGATCCCTGCTCATGACACTTTGAGATGGATAAATTACGTCGTTTTGTTGAACGAATGCCCTGGCACGTCGAACAGATAATTCGATGCAATTTGGGGGGCGGGGCAATGAGTACGTCGAAGGGAGGAAAAAGGAGGCCAAGAAAGAGTAAGACAGACTGAATGTTTTACTAGTATAAAAATGAGGATTTGCATAATCCCTGTCCGCGCTAGTAAAAACTTTTGAAGGCAACCTCCGTACAGTACTCCGTACAGTAGGGTTTGGATTAATACCTCCTTGACAACAGAGTCAAATAGCAACCTGCATTTGTAAATAAACTGGTAGCAAAGAAACTCAAAGCCATATGATTGATGCTTGTGCAGGCATAGCTATCGCATTGGTCAGGGGCCTGAACCTTTAACTACAAATTCCCCTCTCCTTTACACCCTATCCTCCCGGCCAGACAGGCCAGACAGGTAAGACCTCTGCATCTTCTTATTTGCGCCTGACTGGCTCCCAGGCATGGCTGGCCGAGCAGACTCGTGCGTCCTCTTGTTCATCCCATGTGAGCTGGAAAGAGAAGGGCCGCCCGACCGTTGCAATCTCGATTTGGGTTGGGCCTCGGCAGCACGCAGAGGGGAAGGAGACATCTCCCCACCGCTCTGGTCCTCGTCCTCGGGATCAGGTTCCACCACCGTGATTTGTTCCCAGACTTGATCGGCTAGAGCTTCTTCAGCTGTTGGGCGGCTCGAGGGGTCCCATGCCAACATAGAACGGATGAGGGTTTTGAGGTTGTCGGGGATACTGCTCTGAAGTCCGGCAAGACGCTCAAGAATCCTTGTATGGTTATCCCTAGATATGGGCTCTGCGCCAACCCACGATATAAAGGTAGCCAATATGGAAAGCCCCAGGCTGAAGATATCGATGGCGTTCGTATACCCTCCCTGGCGCCCGACTTCTGGTGCTGTAAAGCCCAGAGGCCCGAGGGCCGCCTGAGTGCCCCGGAGGCCTTTCTTGGCCTTTCCGAAGTCGCAGATGGCGGCGGTTGCAGAGGCAGGAGCCCAGCAAGAGAAGACTAGCAGGTTCCTGGGGCTGATATCGCGGTGCATGATGCCCATGACATGCAGGTTCCTGAGGCCCTCGAGCACCTGACGATAGAGCACTAGCCTTGTGGGCAGGTCGATCTCCTGCCACGACGCAGTAGCAAATGTGAAGGGCGCATACGGCATAAGGAGATACACGTACTCGACCGCGGCTTGGGAACAGGGGAATGGGTCGCCATGTTCGCACCATGATGAGAGGAGAGGGACAAGGCCGACGGTTCGGGAAGGGATTTGTTTAGCAATCTCGAGCTCGTTCCTGATGATTGGGATATCGTAATGATGACAGTGAATCGTCTTACAGGCCATAACCTCTCCGGACCGCTTGTTGATACCAGCCTGAACAGCACCAAAAGCCCCTTTGGAGATAGTATGATGGATAATAACATGCCTCATGTCGAGATGTGTTGACTTGGGCAATATATCGAGATAGCTGTACTCCTGGACACGGCGGTGGTGGTCCCAGCCCTGATATCGCTTCTGCATATAGTTCTCGAGATTGGTCGAATATGCTGTCTCATCCCTGGCGGAGAACTCGAGCACAAAGTCCAGCGGGCCAATGCGGAGGCGGTTGGTGTTCATATGAAGAATATATCTTTCATTGTACTGCAGCTCGACATCGGCGTTCCCATCGGCCTGCAGGTATGTAATCGAGTGGGATTTGCTCATGTTCCACAATATGAAGGCCCCGGACTGCGGATGGATCGAGATCATACAAATCTGCGATCCTCTCAGATGGCGTGACTTGGGCGAGCAGATGGGCAGATCGACCCGGCCAAACTTCCCGACCACCCAGCCATGGTCAGGACCAGAGCCTCGTGCGCTGAACGAGAGCACAAGCTGGTATTTAGATCGGGCAGCGCGGTCGGTGGGCTTTGTAGGGCCGTCGGCCTGGGCGACAGCGACAAGATGGACAGGAGACTCGGGAGGCTGGCTGTCGATGAGGGATGCCAGGCATTTCTGAGCTTCCTTGTTCTCGGGGGTCAGCGTTGCGAAGCGAAAGAAGGGCAATGACATGGTAGTGTTGGCGATGATTATAATGGTCACGATGATGACCAAAGTTGATGATGACCAATGTTGAGGATGATGACAATATTCGTGGTAAAATGCGAGCACAGGCGTGACTAGACTTATCAGCTTAATACTAGCGCGGTGTTCTGGAGGGGAGCCCCTGACCGCCTGTTCCGGGCGCTCTAGGGTGGCTGGGCGAGAGCGGTGGCCACCCTTTAGCCCAGCACGCCATCGGCCCCCCTTCTGACAACCTCTTCCCTACAACATCATCACATTCACATCAACATCATTAGATTTGCATCAACATCATCACATTTGCATCCACACCGGCCACGCCACACACACAACCGCCATCATGCCGCTGGGGTTTTGTTCTCCTAGGCGCCTAGACGAGACGGAGGCTGAGTACGACGAGAGGTGGACATTTCATCGGGACCAATGGCGCGAGACGTTTGTCAACGACTACTATAAGAAGAAGGAGGCACGGCTGCCGTCACCCCAAAGCGAGAGTGATCTAGACGATGACGAGATGGCGCACGAGGTTAAGCTAGTCGAACAATCCATACTGATCGACGCAGGGCTTGCAACGATAGACAACTTTGCCAACCCCGTCGAATGGCCCCAAATATCCTTCGAGATTTGCGGCAAATCTCTGAGCGAGGTTGACCCCCATGAGCGGCATCCCTATAGCGTTCCTTCAGCTCCCTACATCGACGAGCCGCTGTTCCCCGTGCTGGTGAACAACCAGCCTGCCGAGGACGCCGTTTTCGAACAGCCGCCGGCTAACAACAGAGGGACACCGGATCACAAGCGGAAGAGGGGTCCAGAAGAGGGGGAGGCCTCTGAGCTACAGCTCGCGATATCCGACGAACAACCAGGCTCCCAGAAGAGGCGAAGAGTGATGAAGAAGGAGATACCGTCTCAGCCGCCGGCCGAGATCAAAGGGACATCGGGTTACAAGCGCAAGAGGGGTTCAGAGGGGGACGACCATGGTCAGCCGCCGCTCGCCACCCCTGAGGGACAACCAGGCCCCCAGAAGAGGCGGAGAATGATAGGAAAGGAGATACAGTCCCAGCCGCCGGTGTCGTCGCGGCCGGCGCCGGCCGGTGTAGCGTCTGGCAGCAAGAGGAAAAGGCGATCCGATATGGACTGCGAGGCTCAGCCGGTGCCGGATGAGCCAGAGGCCAAGAAGAGGAAGGTCGTCAGGGAGGAGATAACAGCCGCAAACGTCGCCAGCAGGAGGGATCGCAGGACTCGCACGAGACACAGCAGCCGGGCGAAGCCTGCCGCCCTCCGAGAGAGCTCACAGCAGCGCATGCAGCCTTCTCCGACAACGCTCACGCCTCGAGTCACCCGCGCACGACGCCGGCAGCTCTCGGGTGCGGATGCCCAGCTCCTGCAGCTCGGACAGGACGGCCGTGCCGACGTGCAGGTGCAGACCGACAGGATTCAGAGGGACGCTCCGGAGGCTGCCACCGAGAGGCCGAGGCATCGACGGTCTGCCGGCACCAAGACTAGGGTCACAGCCAGCACCAAGGCAGGTAGCTGATGGGTTCAGCAAGGCACCCGCCAATACTGGAGAGCACTTAATAAGGTAATGACTTTGGGGTAAAAGGCAATGCGGACAGGCAGATAGGCAGATCTGGGTTATAGAGTGCCGTGTACCGGTTATCCTGACAGGGTCGGGTGCAGCCGGCGACGTCTTTGTACATCCAGGTCAGCCCCATCTTCGAGGTAAGCGTCCAGCGAGGCGGGGCTGCGTATGCTGGTTATCCTGACAGGGTCGGGTGCAGCCAGTCACATTCCTCAACCCCATCGCTGCACGCAGGGACTGGAAGGCAGACAAGCTTGCCTGTGAGGCTTGTGTACCGGTTATCCTGACAGGGTCGGGTGCAGCCGGCGACAGTCTTGTGGGCCAGTGATCCAAGCTATTTTATCCTACAGTCATTCGCAATATAACTGCTTTTCGCCCTGACCCTAGCCCTCTTCTTCCTGCTATCGTAGCCCGAGGCGTTGCTGATGGCTTCCTCTCCTGCTGGAGGAAAGTCCATGGACTGAGTGAAGAGAGGTCAAAAGGGCTTGCTAGGGATCTTCCTCACTATCGAGTTGGCTTGAAGGTGAAAACTTGAGTTACGAGGCTCTCTTTTGGCTGGCTAGCCACATCACATATAGACAATAAAGAATATTCAGCGAGTCAATCTAATACCCGCTACAGGAAGGCCTCTTACCGCAACGCGCAAAAGCCAGAATTCGCCGAGTAATGCTTCTGAAGACAGCAAGAACTAAATGAGGCAGAAGGACACATCGATGCTGAAGGAGGAAATCTATCAGATCTCGGATAGAACGACCGGAGAGAACGAGGAAGACACATGATAGAAGGGAGTACCGACCCTGAGAGTGAAGAGCTTCAACTATCCTCGTGGCACGAACAGCCAGGTACAGATAGAGCAGCATATGAATCGGCCAGGGAGCAGGTGATCCTCATCGGATGCGGACTTTTTTCATGCTTAATCTAACGAAAGCTATCATGGCTTTCGCCAATGGAGATCATTGCCACCGACAATGTATATCGACCCCGGGGCGCGCTCGCAAGCCTTTCATATGTCCGGGGTCTGCCGAGAACTAGCCAGCTCCCGCATTAGGCCGAGTAGAAAAAAGGGATGCCTGAAGGGGTTTTGATGCAAGGCGCGCGACAAAGCAGACAGCAGAAGACATACTATGTATGCTTAGGAGAGAGCTTCTAGGCCATCTTGTAAATTCTCGTCAAGCTGAGCATCATCAATAGAAATCCTTCTAACGTTTCCTCCTCTGGGCCCTCTTCGCCTTCTTTGCTGACGCTGAACCCGTGAAAGATGTGTCTGGAATAGTCTCTAGATCGTCAACAGGCTGGTGGTGACCCTGTTCGCTGCACGCCCGGGCAGAGCCAATATCTGACTGCGAGAGACGATGGCTTACAATCTCTTGGGACAACCGGGTTTCCGAAAGCGGTGGCATATCCAAGTCCAATTGCGACAGTAACTGGTCGATGGCTGAGCAGATCCTTTCAAAGTGTGCCGGCATCTATGTATCGTATACGTTCTTTGTGAAGCAATATGCTGTCCATTTTCCCCTGCCATCTAGAGCAGCGAAAGAAAACTCGTGAATAGGATGACGATAGAATTTGCTGGTCTTGCCGTCTATTATGGCATAGTGACCATATATCCTGACAACCCGATGGTCGTGAGAGATGGAAAAAGCCATGATTTGACGATTGACCTCTCTCATACGATTCCCAAGCCGAAACAGCTCAACTACAGCTCGCACCGCAAGTGTCCCGCTATGGGCGTTCTGGCGATCTGCGATATCAAGGGCTGCTGCCCCGCACATAACTTCGCATGTCAGAAACGGGAAGTACATAGGTACATTGCTATGAAGAACAACTAGTCTCCAGCAATAAAATCGCCGATGAACGGTGAGAGCTTTTCAAGTTGGTCATCGGTGAACGCCTCCCGTCGGAATCCCATAGAGTAGTCGGGCTGCGGGCGGGCGCCGGTAAGCGGAATAGAGTTATTCCATCCTTCGTTAATGCTCTCTACCAAGCATTCAAGCTTGCTTGCGCCATATATAGCGAGGGTTTCCGCAGGGGGAACGATTAGAGGAGTGATATCCCGAATAACTCTTGCCTCGTTTCTGTCCGCTACTTTATGATAAGTTGTTTCGAAAATATCGTCGCAAAAGAGTGAATGCCTCGGGCATGTTTGTACTGTGTCGAGCAGCTTATTGACTGTGGACTTGCTTGTTTCTGTAATCCCTAGATTGGACTTGTCCATGAAACTTCCTTTGGTCGCAAGTAGTGCCTTGTATTGTGAATCGCGATATGGGGCAGTCTTCTCCTCCCTAGGCTTTTGATGTTGAGCAAGGAAATGGCACAGTGTTAGGTGTGTCGGCTAGAAGCCTTGAGCATTGAATTCTTCTAGTCTGAGGAGCTGATGTGAGGGGGTAGTGGCCATATATATAGATAGAGTGCGTGCCAGAGCGGGTTCATTTCCCTGTCAACCGTTTCGTTTCTCAACATTTGATCACTCAGCGTCTCGGATGTAGCTAAGACAGATCTCGATCGTTTCCGACCAAGTGACGAAGAGGATTTCTTCCTCGCAAGGAGGTGTTGCATATTGTGGCGTTGTTCAAAGTATCGTCCCGGCCAGTGTCCTGCTCTTGCTCAGTGGGCGACAGGATCAACCTCGTCGTCTGCCTCTTCGTATGTGAGCTTGTGGAGATCGTCTGACAATCGTAATCGTTTTGCGCCGAGAGTCTTGCCTGAGTCATCCGGATTATCGCGAGATCGCTTTCGACGGGTTGTTGGGGGGGCTGTGTGGAGCTCCGGCGTCTGCGTCGGAGAGATGGAGGAAGCTTTATTCGGTATCGGCTTCATAGAAGCTGCACCAGCTTGTTGAATTGTCTTGTTTAGAATCCGCTCTTGATAGTGACGAGATGTCTGCTAGCGTGCATTCTTGTTCAACGGAGTGGATGCCGTGGCGGAAGCGGCTTGCCGCTGGAGGCACGGCAGGAACGGAGAGTTCTAAACTGGGTTCCACTGCAATAATTCCTGTACGGGGATTGGTCGAAGGTCACGTGAGGAGGTACCTCCAGGGAACTACCCCTGTTCCATAGCGCTTGATGAGGAGGAAAAGGAGGAAAGTGTAGCATTGTGCCTTCCTAATCTGGAAGGAAATCGTAGAAAAGGTAGTTCAGGCAAGAGCGCTGCAGGCTACAGCGCTGCAGGCAGCGCTGCAGGCAGAGGGGTTCAGAGGGTTTCCCTCTAGTAGTTAACTGAAGCTCTTCAAAATAAAGATCTTGAATAATGCCTTTCAATATAAATAAACTGAAGCTATTCAGATATTTCTATTAGTTGCTCTTATTGTTAGTTCTATTAAATTTGCTGAACAGCCTGCCACAGTAAATGCTAGCTATAGTAAGTGCTAGCTATATGCTAGCTGAACATGCTTGCTATATATATATTCACTCATCTTTCTTTTCATTTAATAGAAAAATCTGCTACGAAATAAACAAACAAACAAACAAACAAATCTACAAACTACTTAGCAGAGCTCTTAAATCATTATTGCTATTAACATCTATTCAAAGTATATTTCAATAAACTTATTGCTTAGCTAAGTCTAGAGTGCATTCTATTTCAGTATACTCATTATCCCTGCTTATTATAAGTACACTTAATTTCAATGCACTCTCTACTAGCCTTCGTTACGAATATACTTAATTTCAGTATACTCTCTACTAGCCTTCGTTATAAGCATGCTCTGCTTGAGTGCATCTATTACTACTCTTAATTACAAGTGCTCTTTCAATAGATTCTACTAATATTGTAATAATATATAAGCTTAACATGTTAGCTGCTATAAGCTAATGCTCGCCTAACTCTCCTTACTCTTCTAGCAGCAGTGAACAGAATTCTTTCCAGCCCTATTAAGCTGATCAACCCGATATTACCAGCTACAATAGCAATCAGAAAACGATTTACAATTGCAAGGCTCCCGGAGCTACTCAGCGATGCTGCAACTGTAGCAAGATTAAGTCTATTGCATACTTTCAGAAGAAGAAAGGCTGCGGAGAGCTAGCTATTAACTGTTAGAAGTGCTGTAATAAACAGAACTCCTTACAGATTTAGTTCCCGTGCTATATTTCCTGTTTACAGATTTCTAATACTTTGATAGAAAGTATCAAATACTGTATATTAAGTTCTTTCTGCTGTTATCAGAAGAAGCGCAGCAGCAGCAGAGCTATTCTCCCCAGAGGGCGCCAATCCAGCATCCAGGCTGCCTATGAAGCCCCTTCATCCTACTCAAGAAGAGATCGTAGTTGCACCTAGTTCTCGTTCTCTTTTCCTAATCTCTTCTTCTCGAGGCTGAGGATGAAGCATTCTACAAGCTGCTTCTATGGGTTAGCTAGATAGGCGGCTGCTCCTTTCTTTTGTACTTGCTCATTCTTCTGCACCTGCTCTTCCCCTTTCTTAGTCTGGCCTGAATCGCCTTTCTGCTATGGACCAGCTGAGCGGAATATTCCATCGCTATAATTAGATTGAGAGCTATATGCCAGCTGAGCAGCGTGCTTACGATCAATGCATACGAGATCAGCATTAGCATCGGATTCAGCGCTGCCAGAGCGAGATTCCTGATCTCACTCCCTCTTCACAGGAATACCTCTTACAGAAGCCTGCTTCAGACAGAAGCTTGATGATTAGCAGCGCTAGCGATGATGATAAGAATTTATAATTTGAGTATTCTATCTGCAGCTTCCATCATTATTCCCAACTCCGCTGCTCTGATAAGCTGGATATCTGCTGTATCTGCTGTAATCAGAATGAGAATATCTGAAATAATGATATGCTTATAATCTGTATTCGATGCAGCAGAGAGCTTCTCTTGGTAAACTTTCTATGCTACAAGCAGCATATGAATATCTGCATAAAGTATTCATTTTTTCCTTTCTCTCTATCCGCAGATTCAGCTTTTATGCTATCTTCCAGCATGAGCTAGCTTATTCAGCTGATGCCTGCTGCTCGCTATGAACGCTCTCAAGCCTCTAATTAATCCTCCAATTAGCCAGAAGAGATATCTTAGTTCCTTCAATGCAGCGATCCGAGGTTTGATGATAATCTTGCGCTGCTCGCACTCTAGCCCAAAGAGATAGATCTTATCCAAGCTTTCCAGAATGCAATAAATGAAGAAGCTCAATATAAGATCTGCAGCTGCTGTAATTACTGCTAGTTTCGCCTCAAGATTCAATAGAATGGAATCTGTAGAGCCTGCTACAAGCTTGATAATAAGAAAGATAATGAGCTGCTCAACTTCTTCTTGCATGAGAATAGCTTAAGCTTTAGCATGATTTCTGCTAATCTTCCTAAAGCTATATAAGTTGAGAAGCAGCTGTTTGCCCGGGTTTACATCTTCATCAACTGCTGTCTGATCCAGGGCTAGCAGTATTGATATAGCAAGCATTGTATCAGCTTTCTTCAAGATATTGCTTATCTCTTTCAACAGCTTCCTTATCTGCTCAAGAAGGCAGATCTTCTAATCCTTCAGCCTTGCAATGCTTAGAATAAGCTTTATATTATGCAAGCATATAAGAAGGAGATAAGAGTTTGCTGCAAGATAATGGAAATCTAGCTGCAATTTCTTATAGCTAATTATAATAAATATAGCAATCTCCAGTTGAACTACAAGCAGCTTGCTCAGCTGCCCGAGGATAGAAATATGATTGATGAATGCATAATCATCGAGATTGATAATGAGATAGCTGCACTACAGCTATCTGATGATGAGAAGGAGGATGAAGCGAAGGCTTTTGAGAAGGTTGCTGCTGCTTCTAATGTTATTGCTGTTTATTCGAATCTGTACCGCCTTCGCTAGCAGCTCTCAGGCTGAGATTTGCAGCTCGAGCAGCTTCCTATGCACCCCGAGAAGCCTTCTATACAGAATTTCATTGAGATACTAGATATCCGGTTCACTCCTTTAAGCAATCTGAATCATTGTATAGCTCTGTTTAGCCTTGCAGTGCCTACGCTTTTTTCAGAAGCTAAGAGCGAGTTTATCAAGCTTTGCATATGCGAGTACATATTTAAGCAGTGAGTATATTATGCGATTCTCTACAAGAATGGATAGTTTGCTTAGCATTCTTGCTTTAACTTTATAATCTTCAATATGCTGATAAGAGCAGATGTTAATAAGAAGAGCAATTTCTTTATTAATCGCTTTAATCGCATCTTGCTAATATTTAATACTATTAATGCATTCAAGAAAGCTTTCGAAGGAGATAAGCCTAAAGCTTGTATTATTCTCAACTCTATTATTCGCTTAGCTAACAAGCTAAAGAGCACTCATTCCTTCTGGAACTAGGCTAGGAACGAGTTGCAGTCTCTCTGCTGTACGCTCAAGTATCCGCATATCTTCATTACTGCCTTTGCAGCTGATCTATACTAGAAGTTGCTAGCTTGTATGATGCTATAATATTAAGAATAGCTATAAGCTGATAATAAGAGCAAGATAGTTATTATGTATCGGAATCTAAAGAAGAACTCTTATATTGCTACTTACTATTTCTACATCAGATTTCAGATCTTCTTTAATGAGTATCTGTTTAAGAAGTTAAAGATCAAAGCTTATTAGCAGCGCTATGAGTAGCAAGGCTGAGGAAGCACTCATATTCACAGCCTTTACTGAATCGAGGCTATAATACAAGCTTCTAACGAGAGATTTCTCAGCAATATTCAGAAAGAAGAGTTTGTAAGAGCTTGGAGCTTCCACATTACCGCCTATAACTCAGAGCCTGCTCGCCAGCTACCCCCTTACGAAGCCAACCCCTTAGCATTCAAGCCTGGCGAGGATATTACGTTCGGTATGCTTTCTCGCATCATCAACTGTATATAGCAACACCAGTGCTCTGAGGCTTACTGCCTCCGCTGGTACAAGCTTTCTGATGGCAAGTGGGCGGAAAACAAGCTCTGCTGCTTTTACTACGAATACATCCTCCGCAAGATCGCTGCTGTAACTACCGGAATCAACAAGCAGAAGAATCCGCCTTAGAAGATGTTTAACAGCATTCGGAATAACAGCTGCATGAATAATTATATTCAGAGCATTATAATAGCCTAGCTGGCTAATATAGATATAGTGCTATATACTTCTTTGCAAGCTATAATTAACTACATTGCTAAATACTGCTCTAAGGCTGAGATGAAGATTCAGCTGTATAAGAAGATAATGTTCGAGTTAATCTCTAAGATCAATTATGCAAAGCTTATAGTATCTCTGGTTGCTAAGATAATAAATAAGCTTCTCTCTGAACAAGACTAGCTAGCTATAGAGATTGCTCATCACTTGCTTAGCTTCTCTCTTATCTAGTGCAGTTACCAGTTCGTTAATATAGATTGCTATTCATCTAATCAACATAAGAGCTCCCTTGCAGTTCTTAATGCTAATAACCAGATTCAAGATTTCAAGCTTCTCTACCAGAAGTATTGTAAGCGCTATGCTATCTGAGAGAATCTTACATACTTTGATTTCCTCTTCAAGATTAACTATACTAGAGCGTAATAAATATAATTCAGCTCTACAGCTAAGCCTTGAGTTTTGAACTATTTCTCTCGGTATTCTCTCAAGAGCTTCTTGCTAAACTTCGAGAGCTTTGCCTGCATTAAGCTGATGCTTAATCATCTCTTTAGAAACTACTATTATCTCAAGAAGATTAATAGCATATTCTTTCCAATCTTCAGCAAAGCTTTCAAGCACTGCCTTGCTATTTACAATCACTCTAACAACTACTACAGTATAGCAGAGATAGATATACTAGAGGAGAGCTTTGAGGAGAATCCTGATACTGTGCAGATAAATCTTGAAGCTGCTGATTGGAATATATTAGCTGCAGAGCTTTCCAACTGTGCTATTGAGATTAATAATATTGAGATTCTCAGCAACTGCTCTATCGATTTCAATTATAACTGGAGTTCTTATATTGGTTGATATTCCGATCTCTGGAATATGTAAATTAACTTCTGAAAGAATCTTCGAGCTATTTTGCATATTCCAATATCAGCAGACTAATTACAGTTAGAGTTTGCTATTCTAAATCTAAATACTCAGCAGTACTTGCTATATACTACTATTGTGGATTACTAGAAGGAATGCTTCGAGCGTGGTTATTATGGGGATAGCATGATTTGCGATTCAGATTATCAGCTTCTGTTGCAGGTTAATGGATGAGAGGGCATAGGAAAGTCTTATATGTTGAAGGTTATCACTGCAGCCATGCGGAGAGCTTCGAATAGATTCGCTTATTCTCATGAGATGGTTATAAAGGCTGCGCTTATTAGTATTGCTGCTAATGCTATTAATAGCTAAATGATTCATTCTCTCTATTGGATTCCTGTTATGAATATGATAAAGCTTAATAATCTTACTATTAGCAAGACTATGAATATTCGCAATAAGCTTCGCTATATCGAATACTTTATTATTAATAAGAAGTTGATAATCTTATACAAGCTTTTAGTATGAATCGATTACTGCTTTTACTAGATCTTCAAGTATAATTATATCTTTAGTAGCTGCTATATTATTCTGTTAAATAATTTCTATCAGCTATTTCCAGTAATAGCGAAGCTTCTCTTTTCTTATGAGAAAGACTTCTCAAACTTTGTAAACAAGGCTAGCTGGACAGCATATCTTGAGTTCAAGAAGACTATCGAGTTGACCGAGATTATGCAGCAAGCAAGCGCAAGCCAGGCTCCTTTTCGTAATGCGCTTAAGAGCTTCCGAACTAACAAGCTTACCGAGAAGGACTGGAAGACCCTCTCATCCCGCACATCTACTTCCCTGCCTCTGAACGAGATAAAGCGCTTTGATAATACTCTGCGCATCTATTCTACTAATGCTGAGGTTGTTGAGTATAATATGATTTACCTGAAATATCTTAACAAGCTTGTAATTCAGAGTATTGCTGTTAATATAGGATTACAGGTGCATACAGTTCCTTCTTAAGATGCTAGTAATCTGTACAATTCTTTGCTGCTCTGTATTAGTACTAAAGTTATGCTTATGGATAATATATGAATCGATATTAGCTTAATAAATAGTGCTATTAGTACTGTTTATGATATTGTTTAGTCTACTGAGGTTGAGAATTCTTGCAAATACCAGCCTTTTATTATACTTATCAAGATGAATAGCTATTCTGAGCTATGCTGCTTCTCAGAGAATTACGAAATCCCTCCCGGTATGATCCCCATCTTTCTCGCCTATCGGAACTTTCTCAAGAGAAATGCCCCTTGCTCGTATACTCAGTTTCTGTTAATCATTGCATATGCTATTACTATATACAAATCGCAGAGCTCTATACTGAATCAGGCTATAATAAATATCTCTTCTAAGAACTTTGCGCCTGATCTGATATATATAGCGATATCTCGCATAACTCATCTGAAAGAGCTAATATTTGATAAGCTCTTTTATCTTTCTGATCTCCGTATCAAGAAGGATCAGATAGAGGCTCGCTGTGCCAGGGATTATCAGAGATGAAAGAATGCAGGCCAGCTCCTCAAGCCTCGCTTAGCTGCTTACTCTCAGCAGTCCCAGCCCCGGCAACTGCAGTCTTCTCAGTATAGTGGCAGCCTGGCGGTTGATAATGCTCAGTGGAGGCTAGAGAACCTTTATAACTAGCTTAGATAGCATATATAGAAGTTTTGAAGCATCTTAATTAATAATGCTTTCCTCTAATACTCTGAGCTCTAGATCTCATATTAAGATTATACCAAAGATGATATATATATACTTGTATTCATTCCTTTATAAATTTAAAGCTGCATTGCAACTATATGCACTTGTAACTGCTTCATATCATGCATATACTAGATTTAAGTACACTTGTTACTGCTTCATGTTACAAGTGTATTAGATTTCAGTATACTCGCTACTGCCTTATATCATGAGTATACTAGATTCCAGTATACTCTTAATTGCCTTATATTACGAGTGTATATAGTCTGAAAGCTTCCAGGCTTTGCTAAGTAAAGTAAATAAATACCCCCTTTTCCCTCTTTTTGCATTTTTAGAAACTTTGATCTTTCCTTCCTTCCTCAATAATAATACCTATATTGATGTATTTATTTATTACGCTTTTCAGATATTCAAATCATTAATTACTATATTGTTATCAGATTAATTATTATATTTTTATTACAAGCTGTATCGGAGGCTGTTTTTGAACTAGCTTGAAGCAGTATGCTCCTCTCAATGTAGCTTCCTCTCTCTCTGCATTATTAAGCTAGCTGGCTAATGCATTTCTGTTTGCAGGCTCAACTGCTTAGAAAGCAATCCACGCTTCCCTTGAAGCTATACAAAAGCAGTTCCCCGAAAGCACTCTGCTTACCAATACTCAAATTATCAAGTTAATAGCAGCCACTGCAATCAGACTACTTATAGTCAATTCGATGCATTGCAAGAGCCTGAAAAGCTTTAGCCTCCTATATAGCACTTCAGCAGCGATGAAGAATTTGATTTCAGCTCTTGTTCAAGCCTCTAGCATATTAGCCTTAATCCTGTATCAGCGCTGCGCTCAGGGATATGAGCTCTGAACGGGTTGTATAGTTATGCCCCGCAGCATAGTTGATTCTACTCCTCTCTATGCCAACTGCTACTACAGCGGAGGAACGAATCATTGCTCGTAAGATCCACAGATGCGAGACGATCCTCAGGGATCCCAGATCCTACACGTAACAGTTGCGCAGGCAGAGGCTCTCGGGCCTCTGGAGGAGAGTTAACCATCCAGCGAGGCTCAATCCTTCGCTAAACAAGCACTCGTGGAGCACCTCTGCTGTCAAGCCGAGGCCCTTAGTGATGAAGACTGTGGTTGTTTGATACAGACGCTAGCAAGGAAGGTGAAGCTCACTGGGGAGGAAGAGAGTGATCATACAGCAGTGGAGAGAGAGGAGCAGCAGCAGCAGGAGGAGAAGGAGCAGCAGGAGGAGGAGCAGCAGGAGGAGGATGTTGCAATGCTAGATATGAGCTGCAACCTCTTCATGGGAGATGAGGAGGGCTAAGGCGAGGAAGGAGAGCCTTCGGGAGCGCATGTCCCTGTTGTTCGCACACCTGAACCGCCTGCCCGTAAAGAGGAAGCATATCTTGATGATGCTCCTGTGAGGGATTTAGCTGATGTTGGGCTTGAGGTGGCTTCTCTTCAGCTGGCTTTCCTCGAGGAAGCTATCCCTCAGCCTAGCGATGATGAAAGCTGGTTGTGCGATCAAGATGATAAATTTGCTGAGTTATCTATCTTCGCTTCAAGCCTAGCTCTGGTTCTCACTTACAGCTCTAGCTCTCTTCCTTCTTTCGAGGTTAGCTTTATGCGATCTCGAAGAAAGCTAAGCCAGACATCGCTTGCGAGCTAGATGCGAAAGGAATAATGCTGATATCGAGGGCTTATATATTATCAGTCTGTATATAATTGCTTTTCTATTATTGCTTTCTATTATTGCTTTCTGTTATCTGCTTTTCTATTTATTCCATATATTTCACTATCATATACCCTTTGAAGCGCTAAGTAGCAAGCTGAATGAAACCGCCAAGTAACGGTTATTATACTATCTTTCTTAAGAAAGCATATGAAGACTGCTCAATTAATAAACATTATCAGAAAGAGTAGCCATATAAATAGCTATATAGGCAGCTGTTAGAAAAGTGAGCTCTATTTGCTGGAAAATATAGGGGAAAAAAAAGTTGAATCGAAATCGAAATTTCAAGTCCAGAGTAAGTTTGTAAGATGCACTCGTTACTCGATCGTATCAAGAGTGCACTGTAATAAGATGCACTCGTCACTCGATCATGTCAAGAGTACACTGTAATAAGGTGTACTCGTTACTCGCATCAATCAAGGGTACATAGAACTCTTCCGGTCCAGCTGTACCCTCCAGTAGCAAGCTGCTTTCGCTATAGCATCCACTCCGTTAATCCCTTAACCGTTCCAGCTGGCAATTAAATGATAAAAACAGGGCTGGCAATTAAATATAAAAACAGTGGCTGGCAATTGAATATAAAAATAGTGGCTGGCAATTGAATGAGCTTTCTAGGATATAGATTTAAATATACGAAAAAATTTGGTGTACTCCCCAGAGCGTGCAGAGGGCTGTAGTATACCAAATTTAGTGGAACGGTTTCGTATATTTTACACCCTATCCTATTGTTCCTCTCCTGCCAATAATCAGCTTGATGAGAATGTAGTAGAGCACGGGACGAGTACCTTGATAATCGAGCGTTATGTTGTGATACACGTGCTAATCGATGCGTAATTGAGCCTGAGTGCGTGCCATTGCGGGTGGATGAGGTAGGTGGTCGCAGATTTTAGACACATCCGCCCACCCTCAAAAGATTAGAACCACCAGGTTGGGCCAATTGGCTAGGCCTGTTAAGATCCTAAGTATAGCCAGAACCTTTGCTTTGGGTCTCCTTCTACATATATTCTATGCTTAATTAAGCAAAACTGCAGAACAACTGAGGAATGCATGTAAAATGATGTACTATATAGATTCAGAATATTATCCATGGGCATTGTTTCGATAGCTATGAATCCTGTAAGGCCTATCGATACGACAGTCTCCCAGACGAGTTACGGACATAACAAGGTATGTATTCCAAATACTTAAGCAGCACTAGCTTTAAAGAGAACAAAATCTTATCTGTAAGTGTATAAGGTCAATTGTAGTATAGCATAAAATTTTCAAATAAGATCTATAGAAGTGCTTGGCTAGACTGTGAACCAGAGACTGACTGCGCTGGGGTGCATAGTGAATGATAATTCCAAGCTATATTCTACAATAGAGTCGATATCCAGAGACTCAAGAGCCCAATAATCATCCTTCCCATATTCAATCTTTCTTGATTTAAGAAGAGAATAAAATTTACTAAAGTATACTTCAGCTATAGTCGTTGCGCGTCGTTTTATCAGATTTTCATCTGGTGGAGGTTGTTAAGGAGCAACAAAAACTCCGCTCAGCTAGGATTTGATGTTCGGAGGTGGTCAGGTTACGCAGGATGTTATGACCCATCTAGCATGCAGGTCACAAAGCAGGCCCTGCCAAACAAGGAACAGGAATCGGGATCCAACAGCGAACAACCATTGGGCTTAGATAAGCAAGGGTTAGGGTTGGATCACGATGAAAAGAGTGAGCTACTCACTGGATCGCAGTGAGCTGCTCACTGGATTACCAAGCGCTGAATCGAGGATCATAGTGAGCCAGATGAGCCACACTGAAGAGCTGAATATATAAGAATACATTTATTATCATTAGATAGGCTATCAGAATATAGCTCTTCAATCATCAATCTAAGTATTCATTTATTATATACTTGAATAGCTCCAAAGATGAATAATCAGCACTTGCATGATGTAATGATATGCACTGCAATATCCGAAGATCTGAAGTATACAAAAGGTTTATGCTAACAAGAGCGGTATCAAAGTAGAATTCACTGAATACAGAATATAACTGTAATCCGTGCAAGTGCTGATCATTCGCTTTTGGGGCTATTTAAGTATGTAATAAATGAATACTTAGATTGATAACTGAAGAGCTATATTCTAATAGTCTATCTAATGATAATGAATGTATTCTTATATATCCAGCTCTTTAGCGTAGCTCATCTGACTTACTGTAATTCTTGATCCGGAGCTTGATGATTCAGTAAGCAGCTTACTGTAATTCAGTAAGTAGCTTACTCGTTCTGTTGTAATTCAATTCTAATCTCTGCTTATCTAATTCCAATGATTGTTTGCTGTTGGATTCTGATTTCTGGTTTCTTGTTCAGCGAAGCTTGCTTTATAATCTGCATGCTGAATGAGTTATAATATCATCTCCTGTTATAACTCATCCAACATGCAGATCACAACAAGGAAACAGCACAGCACTAAGAACACTCAGAGCGGATCCTTCAGCGCTAGGAATTCAGCACTAGCTTATGAAGAAACACAAGTTAGGATTATATAACCAGAATTAAAATTATAAGAATTGCATAATTAAAAAAGTCAACAATTAACCCTATTAACTAGTTGAAAGAGTTAACAATCAACTCTATTAACTCATACTAAAGAGCTGAATATATAAGACTATATTCATTATTACTAGATAAACTATCAGAATATAGCTTTTCAGTTATTAATCTAAGTATTTATTTATTATATATTTGAATAGCTTCAAAAGCGAATAATCAGTACTTGTACAGATTACTTAGTTATATTTCTGTATTCAGTAAATTCTACTTTGATACTGCTCTTGTTAGCATAAATCTTTTTTATATACTATAGATCTTCGGATATTGTAATGCGCTTATTATATTTTAATAACTTTTATTCAGAAATGATTCAGTATTATTCTCTGAAGCAAGACGGAATATAATAGCTTTTCAAGAATTCTCTTCATTCTTATGCGCTCCTACTTAGAAAGAACTGATTAATCAGATATATTAGCTTATTCAGCATATTTAGGAATTATGCAATCAGCAGCAGGCTTAGAGTATTATTATTGCTAATTAGCAAGCTTAGCTAGAATAGCAAGATTAATAAGCTTAGCAAGTATAGCTTATTTCTATAGTTATTAGTAATATCAGGAAAGCATATAAGGTGAATAAGCTAGCTATATATAATAATACTTATAAAATGCTTTATGGATTTCTTACTTACTATAAAGCATACTTTCTATATTATGCAATTCAGTTTATATCCGAGCATGAAAAGATCATTTTCACTGAAATCCGCCTTAAGAAGAATGCTCTTATTTGATATAAATCTTCTCTATATAATCATCTGAAGTATTAGAATAATCTTAATGCATATATTCAAGATATAAAGAATATATTCAATTTCTTTGCAAGCTTTGAAAAAGCTTTAAGAGAAGCTTTTAGCAATTCTAATAAAGAATATACTATAGCTTAATAACTTATGAATCTAAAGCAAACTAAATCAGCTTTAGCTTATGTCAGGTGGAAAGGTTGCAAAGGCAATGTGGCGAGGTCTTTTGTCAGGGCCGATTGTGCCAGCAAGGCTCAGAGCCAGCTAAGCCAGCTGGATTACGGATGACTAAGCAATATGCGGCTATAAAGCGGCTTTCTAGCCACATCAGCACTGCTGAGCAGAACTTAGCTCCTTAGGCCTCAATGTTATTCTGGTTGTATGCCCCTGAAAGAGAGAAAAGACCTCGCCACATTGCCTTTGCAACCTTTCCACCTGACATCTTTTCTCTCTTTCAGGGTGTTATGACCCATCCAACATGCAGGTCACGAAACAGGTCACGAGTAACAAGGACCAGGTGTTAAGAATCCAACGTTCTGACAAAACATTGATTACATAACCCAGGGTTAGGGTTGTAAAGGAGGGAGGATCGCTGGGCTCGCCAGCGATCCCGACGAGCTTCACACCTTGGATCGCTGAGCTCGCCAGCGATCCCAACGAGCCACACTGAAGAGCTGGATATATAAGCAAACATTCATTACCATTAGATAGATTCAGTACATAGCTCTTCAGTTGTCAATCTAAGTATCAGATTACTCTCAACTCTGATAGCTCCAAAGGCAGTGAATACTTGCATCGCTTATTAAGACTTGTATGATTCCGTATTCAAGGACTTGATACTTTGATATCGCTTTTATTAGCATAAATCCCTTCGTATACTTAGAAATCTTTGGATTGCTGCAGTGCTTATTACATTTTAACAATTCTTGTTTAAGAATGGTTCGGTATTACTTCTTGAGCAATACGGAATACGATAGCTTCTCCAGAAATCCTTTCGTTCTTGTATGCTTCTACTTAGGAAGAACTAATTAACTAGATATACTAACTTATTCAGCGTATTCAGAACCTGCGCGAATAACAGCAAGCTTAGAGCGCTATTATTGCTAATTAACAAGCTCAGCTAGCTTAATAAGCTTAGCAGGCGCAGTTTACCTCTGCAACTATCAGTAGCGCTAGAAAAGCATACAAGATGAATAAGCTTGCTATATATAATAGTAATCAAAAGATACTGCATGGGTTTCTCATCTACTGCAGAGCGTACTTTTTGTATCATGCAACTCAGTTTATTAGGGAATCTGAGAAAGTTATTCTTGCAAGAACTCATTTCGAAAAGAATACTCTTATCTAATACAAGCTTTCTCTATATAACTATCTGGAGCATCAGAATAATCTCAATATATATACTCAGAATACTAAGAATATATTTAATTCTTTTGAAAGCTTTGAGAAAGCTCTTAAAGAAATCTTTAGCAATTTCAATGAAGAATATATTACAGCTCAGCAGCTTATAAATCTCAAGCAGATTAAATTAGCTTCTGCTTATACAGTTAGATTCAAGCAGCTTTTAGCAAGACTTCTGTAAAAAGATAAGAATCTCATGGAATATTATTATAAGGAGCTTAAGAATAATATTAAGAATGAAATCTCCAAGCAGAATTAGCTAGAGAACTTTGCAATATTCTCAAACCAAGCAATCTGCATTAATAACTATCTGTATAAATGATGAGTAGAGAAATCTAAGAAGAAAGAAAGCTAAACTTGAAGGTTTTCAGCTAATATAAGCAAGAAACTTTAAAATAAAAATAGCAGTCGATATAGCAGTATAGCTTAGAGCAGCACTATGCATGCTGGTCTTATAAAACTTAATGCAGCTAGCAGGCAGTATAGCAAGAGGAATAGTATTACTTGCTATAACTGCAACAAACAGAAATATATAGCATACAATTGCTATCAATCCTGAAAGAATAAATAGCAATTAGTTCAGAAAGAATGCTAGATGAATATCGCTTAGCAATAGAAACCCAATCAACTAAGCAAAAACATTCTCTTGGAGCAAGTATCGGATCCTGTTGATTACGGAAGTCTTAGCTGAACATTCTGCTACAACAACAACTGCTTAATATATCTCTCAAGTAAGGAAGATTCAGAATGGTTTCCTTAGAAATCTAGATACTGCAGATAGATAGCAACAGCAGGATGAGAGCATATACTCAGCACTATCACGAACAGCAGTAACTCGGATTGCTCTGAAGTCACGAAACAGGGCATTCAGGCATTAAAAGAAGAGCTTAGTAACAATACTCTTTAATATTCTTCATTGCTTATGCTAAGCACTATGATTAGGAATATGGATAAGGAATGATATTCTCTTAGCTACTGATACAAGTATCTGAACGATATTAAGAACGTTTTTCAAGCAGCAGAAGGATTGAGCTAGGCTAAACGATCTGACGAACTATTAGAATCTCTTGTAAACAATAAACCCAAGAAGTCTGCAGGAAGGTTTTCCTTCAGCATTGGATAGAATAAGGAAACAATATAGATTAAATATCTTGTTTATAGAATAAAGCTGGAAAAGCTCTTCATCTGCATCCCCTTGCAAAACATTGAAGCATAACAAGATAAGAATTCTCAAATCAGTTCACTTTACAATCTATATTACAAACTAGCATAAATCTTCTACACCTATCATAGCTGCAGAACGCATTTCTCAGAGAAAGTATATTACAAATGATTTTCCATTCAGAAACTAGAACAAATTCTTCAAGCTATTAAAGAATAAGAATTCCGCTTTAGAGAAGTTCTTAACAAGCAGCACTATAATGTATATATTGAACTATTAGACAACTATTCCATGCAATGCATAAACAAGAAAATAGAATAGTAATAGTGCAAAACAATATTCTGTACAATTCATATCAATAATAAGGTTTGCAACTAGCATTAATAGAAGAAAGACTAGGAATAATAATGATACAAGCAAAAATAAGCTAAGAAGCTCGCTCAAGAAGCAGCGAAGCAGGCTTAAAAGAATAAGCGATTCTCGATAAACTCAAAAGAACAGAATCGCTTATAAAGAAACTGCAGATAATTAGATTAGAACGATTCCTATATAAAGCTTTCAAGGCAGACTATGCTTATATCAAGTTCGATATATACATTCAAGAATATAAGTATAGCGCACTATTGAATAGTAGCGCTTAGGAAAACTTTATATTCTTATACATTATCAACTAAGCATAACTATAGTGGAAATGAAAGAAGCAATCATATATCCTCAGCACTGTAAAAGAACAATCTATTGCATACAACTAAGAAGTAATCAATAAGAAGACTAATTATCTACCTATCTCAATTCAAGAATACGCAATCAGAGTTTCTTTTGATATTACGGATACAGCATAGCATAAGCTGATTGTAGGATTTCCATAGCTCAAGAAGCATAATTCTCGAATCGATTGGACTACTAGCTAGATCTTATGAGAATAAGCTATACTCAGAGAGATAGTTGCAATTAACAGCGTAGGATCAAAGCTAGTTGTTGAAAGACACTCAAGAAAAGAGGCTTCATATAACTTCATATATACCTTTAAGTCAGCGAGGCTAGCAGTTCAAGGAGAAGAACCTAGTAACAAGCGAACCCAAACAGTGCTAGAGCGCTAACAGGTTAGCAAAATAACGGAAGCGAGACCCTCAGCACATCAGTCCGCTTCGGAGCAATAAAGAAAAGCTTCAGAAAGTGGATTGTAGATCTACACAGGAAAAACCTCGAAATCAGGCTCTCGAGCGCTCGATTCAGCCCGGAGCAAACGCTTAAAGCCTTCAAAAACGCTATCAGAAAAGAAGCACGCTCAGCAGTATCTACTATTCCTTCAGATAGCAGAAACAGCATAGAAATCAGAACCAATACTTGCAAACATATTACGAGAATACTATAAGTTCAAGAAACTGTTTCAGAAAGAATTAGATACGGGATTGCTAGAATACAGCTTATATAATTACGAAATCCTACTGCAGAAAGGGAAATAGCTGAAATTCTTTCCTATCTATAGACTAGACAAAGTATAACTAGAAGCACTCAGAGAGTATCTCAATGAAAACTTTAAAAAGAAATATATATGATTATTGCAATCACTAGCAGAATATCCCATCCTATTTGTACTTAAGAAAAATAGCAAGCTCAGGCTATGCATTAACTACAGGCAACTTAACAATATTACAATTAAGAACTAATATCCATTGCTACTTATTAAGAAACTATGAGATAGATTGCAAGAAGTATAATAGTTTACAATTCTAGACTTAAAAGAAGCTTATATCTAATCAGAATAAAAGAAGAAGAAGAATGGAAAACTGCTTTCAGAATACGCTATGAATATTATGAATATTTGATTATGCTCTTCAGTTTAACGAATGCTCCAGCTTCATTCTAAGAAATAATCAATCATATTCTATGCAAGCATCTGGATTAATTCATTATTATCTATCTTAATAATATTCTTATTTACTTCCGAATACTGGAAGAATATAAGGAATATATGGAAACAGTATTGCAAATGCTTCAGAATGCGAAACTCCTTGTAAAACTCGCAAAAAGCTACTTTCATATACAAAAAATCGATTATCTCAGATTCACAATCAAGCTAGAATGCATCAAGCTATAGAAAGATAAGATAGAAGCTATTAGAAACTAGCTAATTCCTAAGAATATTAGAAACATTAGATCTTTTCTCAGATATATTAACTTCTATAAGCAGTTTATCAAAAACTACAGCTGGATTGCATACTCTCTTACAAATCTTACTAAAAAGAATCAATCTTTCGAATAAACCTTCAAGATATAAGAAGCTTTTGATAAGATTATTAGATATATTACTTCAGAGCTAATTCTATATAAAGCAGATTCTTACAAATCTTTTAAAGTTGAGACTAATGCATTAGAATATATACTTGAAGAACAACTTGATTAGCAAGATAACTAAGAGCATCTAAGAGTTGTAAGCAACTTTTCGAAGAAGCTGAACAGCTCAGAAGTCAACTACAGAATCCCTAATCAGAAGCTTATAGCAATAATAAAAGCTTTCGAGAAATAGCAATACTATCTCATTAGCATACAATACTCAATCATAATTCACTCGGATCACAAGAATCTAACTATATTCATAACAACCAAAGTTCTGAATAAGCAACAAGTTAGATAGGCAGAATTCCTTTTACAGTTTGATTTCAAGATTGTATACTGCAAAAGCTTAGAAAACGAACAAGCAAACGCTCTTAGCAGACAATCAGATTACCAAGATACAGACTTCTCAGATATACAGAACATCTTCGCTCAAAACAAGTCAGAAAACCTTATCAATGCATACAGAGAACTGAATGCTGCTTTCAGAATTGAATTCTTGGAAAAGAATTCAGAATCAATAACTCTAAACAAACAAAACAACTATATCAAGAATATACATAGTGCATTAGCATATAAATATCAGAAAGTTAGAATAATCTACAAATGCATCAGAAAATACTAGTGTAATGAGCACTGCAGCAATCCGAAGATTCCTAAGTATACGAAGGGGTTTATGCTAACAAGAGCGGTATCAAAGTGTCAAGTCCTTGAATACGGAACCGTACAAGTCCTAATAAGCGATGCAAGTATTCACTGCCTTTGGGGCTACTCAGTATAGAAGACTGAATACTTAGATTCACAACTGAAGAGCTATGTACTGAATCCTTCTAATGGTAATGACCGTGTTCTTATATATCCAGCTCTTCAGTATGGATCACTATCTGGCAGCGTCTCGCGGATCACCGCGGTGATCCGGGTGAGCCTAGTAAGCCGCGCTCCTAGTGCTCCTAGTGATCCATCTCTGTCTCCTTCCTAGATTATATAATCAATGCTTTATCAGAACGTTGGGTTCTTAATACCTGATCCTTGTTGCTTGTAATCTGTTTCGTGATCTGCATGTTGGATGGATCATAACATCATCTCCCTTCTATCGATCGTTGTTCCTAACGATCTTCCATAAGTATTCTGATAAGTTTTCCATATGTATAATCTTGCCTTCCTAATTGAGATATTGAGCAGAGTTGAGAAATCTTTTTCCAAGAAAACTGAACAGCATAACCATCTTTTCCTAGCTATTAATCAGTTTGGTTTTGAGATTATATCTTGCACTGCTTGCGCTTTCCAGGGCTTGGTATGCAAGATAATGGATGATGCAAAGCGTTGTTCTCAGTATATCCGTTGTACTCGTTCTTGTAATAGCTGTAGGATTCCTATTTCTGCTCATAAGTCCTCTTTTTCTCCTTTTCTAACCTCTTCGCTAATATCCTTCTTCTTTCCTTAGTTTCGCGCATTATAGCAGAAGATAAGAGGCTGGAATCGAAGGAGCGGGAGGCGGAGGCAGAGTTGGAGGGAGCTCATTGTTGAGCGTTGGAAGTTCTTGATGAGGCGTGCACGAAGATCTCGGAGTCCGCTGCCTGTCTTGCTTGCCTGCGCACCCAGCGTAGATCTCTTGCCTCTCGGGGCGCTCAAATGGTGAATGCGGGCCTTGAGTCCCTTGACGAGCTGGATGAGCGGGAACGTCGTGAGGAGGAGGAATGCAACCTTGCTGCATCGGTTCGTAAGGCAGTATCGGCTGAGAGTATTTTGGCTGAGGATTCTGCTGTTGTGGCTGGGAATTCTTCTTTTGAGAGTTTTGACTGGAATTCTGTGAATCTGAGGAATTCTGTGGTTAACTGGTCGGGTTTCCTGGGGAATGAGACCTCTGAGGGCTCTGGATCTCGGTTCGGGGCGGAGCGATCGTCTTAGGTGCTGGCTTTCCTTTTCCAATATTCAGCTACCTTTTCCTGAGCGTTTTCGACATTCTTCCGTGGTTCCCATGAGTTTTCACTTGCTGGGTAACCTTTTCACTTGATGAGGTATTCTCTTGTGTTGTCTATGCCTCTGTGCTTGAGGATCTTTTCTATCTTATACTCTGATTCATTGTTTTCCACTTCTGCTGTATTGTTTGTTAGTGTTTCCTATACTGCTAGTTTCAGCAGTAAGACGTGAAAAACCGGGTATATTCTTATCCTATGAGATAATGCTAATTCGTAGTTAACTGGAGAAATCTGTTGCAAGATTTTGAATAGTTCCAACTTTTTGTAATCGAGTTTATTGCTGGATCTGGTTGTTTTGATATTTTTTCGAAGTAGGTAGGCCTTATCTCCTTCCTGTAGGATTGGTCTCTCAATTCTTTTGGAGTTTGCATACTGCGTCATTCGTTCTTGAACGAATTGTAATTCTGATCGGAGTTTCTCTTGAACTTTCTTGATCTTCTTAACCCTTTTATCCGCAGCTTCTGCATCTGCTCCTAGCAGTGCTTCGTGATAAGCTGTTGAGTTGTATCTATAGAGTACGAAGAATGATAACTTCTTTATCATGCTTGTATCTGCGCTATTATAAGCAAACTGTGTAAGGGGCAACAGGTTAATCCAGTTATCCTGTTTCTGGTTGATATAGTATTGAAGATACTGTTCAATAACCTGATTCATTCTTTCTATCTGTTTATCTATCTGCAGATAGAATGCTGTGGATATTCTGTAGTATGTTCCGAGCTGTTTTATGAATGAAGTTCAAAATTTCGAGTTGAACTTTCTATCTCTATTAGAGATTACTTCTTCTAGCATGCCATGATTAGCAATGATCGTTCTAAGGAACGCATATACAAGTTCTTCTGCTGTACTGCTTTCCTTGTAGGAGAGAAAGTAAGCATACTTGCTCAGTTTGCAAATCACTACTAAAATGCTATTATATTGCATCTTAGTTAAGGATTCTTATAAGAGAGGTAGCTTGGTAATAAAGTTTAGACTGATGGATTGCTAAATAGTTATAAGTACTGATAAGGAATGTAGTAGTCTGTAAGGCTTGTATCTTTCTGCTTTATTCTTCTTGCAGCTGTTGCATTGTTGTAGGATGCTCTTAATTCTTTTCCTAAGATCTGGTGGGTTCCAGTATCTTTTAATGCATTTGTAGGTTGCTCTGATTCTCTGATGCCTGTGTGCTGGTATACTGTATATATTCTTGATGTAGTTATCTTGTTCGTTCGGAATCATTGATTCTGAATCTCTTTCCGAGGGTTCAATCCTGAAAGCAGCATTCAGTTCTCTATATGCATTAACAAGATTTCCCGATTCGTTTTAGGCGAAGATGTTCTATAAATCCGAGGAATCTGTATTTTGATAGTCTGATTTTCTGCTGAGAGCGTCTGCTTATCCATTTTCCAAGCTTTTGCAGTGCACAATCTTGAAGTCGAATTGTAAGAGGAATTCTGCCCATCTAACTTATTGCTTATTCAAAACCTTGATTGTTATGAATGTAGTTAGATTCTTGTGATCTGAGTGAACTATAATCGGGTATTATGCGCTGATAAGATAGTATTGCTATTCCTCGAAGGTCTTCACTATTGCTATGAGTTCCTGATTAGAGATTCTGTAGTTGATTTCCGAGCTATTCAACTTTTTTGAGAAGTTGCTTACAATTCTTAGATATCCTTGATCATCTCGCTAGCTAAGTTGTTCTCCGAATGCATATTCTAATGCATTAGTCTCAACTTCAAAGAGTTTATAAGGGTTTGCTTTATACAGAATTGGCTCTGAGGTAATATGCCTGATGATCTTGTTGAAGGCTTCTTGCGCCTTGGGATTCTATTCGAAGAGCTGCTTCTTTTTGGTGAGATTTGTAAGGGGATGTGCGATCCAGCTGTAGTTCTTAATGAACTGCTTGTAGAAGTTGATGTATCCGAGGAAAGATCTAATATCCCTGATATTCCTAAGAACTGGCTAATTTCTGATAGCTTCTATCTTGTTTTTCTGTAGCTTAATGCATTCTGGCTCGATTGTGAATCCGAGGTAGTTAATCTTTTATTCGTAAAAGTGATTCTTTGCAGGTTTTACAAGGAGTTTTGCATCTTGGAGCGTCTGCAGCACTGTTTCCATATGTTTCTTATATTCTTCAAGTATTCGAGAGTAAATAAGGATATTATCGAGGTATGCGATGATGAACTGGTTCAGGTGCTCGCGTAGAACGTGATTGATCATCTTCTGAAACAAAGCTGGGGCGTTCGTTAAGCTGAAGAGCATAACCAAATATTCGTAGTGTCTATAGCGCGTTCTGAAGGCAGTTTTCCATTCTTCTCCTTCCTTTACTCTGATCAGATTGTAAGCTTTTTTTAGATCTAGAACTGTAAACTATTATGCTTCTTGCAATCTATCTCGTAGTTCCTTGATGAGTAGTAACGGATATTGATTCTTAATTGTAATATCGTTAAGTTGCCTGTAATCAATACATAGCCTGAGCTTGCTGTTTTTCTTGGGTATAAACAGGATGGGGTATTCTGCTGATGATCGCAATAGTTGTATATATTCTTTCTTAAGATTCTTGTTGAGGTACTCCTGAAGTGCTTCTAGCTGTACCTTGTTTAGTCTGTAGATGGGGAAGAATTTGGGCTGTTTCCCTTCTTGTAGCGGAATCTTGTAGTTGTATGAGCTGTATTCTGGCAATCCTGTATCCAATTCTTTCTGGAATAGTTTCTTAAACTTGTGATATTCTTGTGGTATGTTTGCGAGTGTTGGTTCTGATTCTTGTGCTGTTTCTGCTACCTGGAGGAACAGTAGGTACTGTTGAGCGTGCTTCTTTTCGTTCGTTGTTTTTGGTAACGTTTTTGAGAGCCTTGAGCGTTCGCTCCGGGCTGGACCGAGCGCTCGAGGGCCTGGTTTCGAGGTTTTTCCCGTGTGGATTCACAATCCACTTTCTGAAGCCTTTCCTTGTCGCTCCGGGGCGGACCAACTTGCTGAGGGTCTCGCTTCCGTTGTTTTGCTAACCTGTTGGCGCTCTGGCACTGTTTGGGTTTGCCTGTTACTAGATCCTTCTCCTTGAACTGCCAGCCCTGCTGACTTGGAAGTATGTATGAAGTCGTGTGAAGCTTCTTTTCCTGAGTATTCTTCAACCACTGGCTTCGATCCTACGCCGTTGATTGTGATTATCTCTCTGGGTACAGCTTGTTCTTATAAGATCTAGCCAGTAGCCCAATCGATTCGAGGATTGTATTCTTTGAGCTATGAAAGCTCTATAATCAGCTTATGTTATGCTATATCTGTGATATCAAAAGAAGCTCTGATTGCGCGTTCTTGGATCAAGATAGGTAGATGATCAGTCTTCTTATTGATTATTTCTTGGTTGTATGCAACAGGTTGTTCTTTTACGGTGCTGAGGGTATATGAGCATCTCTTCCATCTCCATTGTAGTTGTGCCTGATTGATGATGTATAGGGATATGAAGTTTCTCTGGATGCTACTATTCAATAGTGCGCTGTACTTGTATTCTTGAATATATATATCGAACTTGATGTAAGCGTAATCTGTTTTGAAAGCTCTATATAGGGACTGTTCTGGTCTGATCGTTTGCAGTTTCTTTACAGGCAATTCTGTTCTTTTGAGTTTATTGAGAACTGCTTATCCTTCTGAGCCTGCTTCGCTGCTTCTTGAGCAAGCTTCTTAGCTTGTTTTTGCCTGTATCGTTGTTATTTCTAGTCTTTCTTCTGTTAATGCTAGTTGCGAACTTTGTTGTTAATGTGAATCGTGCAGAGTGTTGTTTTGTACTGCTACTATTTTATCTTCTTGTTTATATATTGCATGGGGCAATCATCTGGTAGCCCGATGTACGCGTTGTAGTATTATTTGTTGAGAATCTCTCTAAAGCGGAGTTTCTGTTTTTCAACAGCCTAAAGGATTTGCTCTGGTTCTCTGATGGGGAATTATTCGTATTGCATCTTGTCTGAGAAATGCGTTCTGCAGCTATGATAGGTGCAGGAGATCCAAGCTAGTTCGTAATGTAGGTTGTGAAGTGGGCTGATTCGAGGATTCTTATCTTCTTGTATCTTGATGTTCTGCAAGGAGATGCAAATAAAGAGCTTCTCTAGTTCTATTCTATAGATGAGATATTTAATCCATGTTGTTTTCTTGTTCTACCTAATGTTGAAGGAGAACTTTCCTTTAGGCTTGTTGAGCATGTTGTTCGCAGAGAGCTTCTGCAAGCTGCTAGGTTGTTTGCTCTGGCTTGATCTTTCTGTTGCCTGAGAAGCGTTCTCTATGTCGCCTAGATGTTCGTACCAGTAGCCAAGAGAGTATCATCCCTTATTCATGTCCCTGGTTATAGTGCTTGGCGTAAGCGATGAAGAATGTTGAAGGATATCATTGCTAAGCCCTTCTTCCAACGCCTGAATGCTCTGTTCCACGATGTTAGAGCAGTCCGAGTTGCTACTCGTGGGAGTGCTGGGCATGCACCCTCGTTCTGCTGTTGCTATTTGTCTGCAGCGCCTAGGTTTCTAAGAGAACCATCCTGAACCTTCCTTACTCGAGAGGTATATTAAGCAGTTATCATTATAGCAGAATGTCTAGCTGAGACTTCCGTAGTTAATAGAGTCCGATACTTGCTTCGAGAGGGTGTTTTTGCTCAGTTGATTAGGTTTCTGTTATCAAGCAATATTTACCTGGCGTTCTTCCTGAACTGGTTGCTACTTGTTCTTCTGAGATTAATAGCAGTTGCATGCG